TTGTTGTTAATTTACGTCGCACTAGAGCTGCACAATGGGCTATTGGCGACGGTCTGGGAAACATCCCTGAGGATGATCCGAAGACATGCTATCACAATTTTGATCCTCTGCAGAGGGGATGGCTCCCTCGCTTCGGTAGCCCGACGACCTGCACGTGAAGTCGACCATTTTACGGTAGAACAGTTTAACGAGAACCAATACCTCACACCATCGGTCCCTTCGTAGACTGACCCAAGTGGTCACCCACCGACACACTGACCGCAGCCAAGGATGCTTGACTTCGGTGTTCTACTGGGAACCGTGTCTTAATGACCACTCCTCCGCGGGACCCTAATTTGTGCTATCTCTTCTTCAACTTGAAAAGAGCATTTAAGCTGACTTTGTAACGAGAATACAAGCCTGTATATGCATGTGAAAAAAAAATACAGAAATTCTTATTAAGGGGCTCAAACTTACAACCACTCTCATAAATATTTTTTAAGAGGCGTTGAATAGCCGACCCAATTCCGAGTTTATGACTGTTCACCTTTTTCCCTTGTAATTTTAAACCCAATCCAGAAGACAAGGGAACTCCTGAATCAGGCAATGGGACAATCTAGAATTCGTGGAGGAATTTTTTAGGGAACTAACCCGCATTTGCGTGATACGGAGAGTAAAACCATGAATTACTTCTACGGTTAACCCGATGGCAAGGCGATTCTATTTCATAAATCGGATCAACCAGCCAACGATTAAAAGCTATTCAACGCTAACGCGATTAAAGGCTGTCCCTTGAGTCATCGCGGGCTCTCTTCTAAGTTGTTGTTGTTGTTCATTTACGTCGCACTAGAGCTACACAATGGGCTATTGGCGACGGTCTGGGAAACATCCCTGAGGATGATCCGAAGACATTCCATCACAATTCTCATCCTCTGCGGAGGGGATGGCTCCCCCGCTTCGGTAGCCCGACGACCTGCGCGCGAAGTCGAGCACTTTACGGTAGAACAGTTTAACGAGGACCAATACCGCACACCCTCGGTCCCTACGCAGGCTGATCGAAGTGGTCACCCACCCGCACACTGACCGCAGCCAG